ATAATGTGTTAACCCTACTGATAAGTATGGGTTTTTGGTATGTTCTCTTTATTAAATTAAGGAAGATTTCCTCTCTATGTTGTTTGCTGAGAGTTTTAATCATGAAAAAGTGTTCTATTTTGTTAAATGCTTCTTCTGAGTCCATTGATATAATCATATGGTTTTTCTTTTGCCTGTTGATGTGGCGGGTGATACTGATTATCAAATATTGAACTAGCCTCACATGCCTGGAATAACTCCCACTTGATCATGATGTGTAATTCTTTTTGTACATTTCTTTAATTTGTTAATACTTTGTTGAAGATTTTAAAATCTTTGTTCATGAAAGATGTTGGTCTGTAATTTTCTGTTTTTGTATTATCCTTGTCTGGTTCTGGAGTCAGGATAATATTGGCCTCATTAAATGAGTTAGGAAGTGTTCCTCTTCTTCTGTTTTTTCCTGAAGAAATTGTGTAAAACTTTTCAAAAATTTATTTTTTTACTCTTTGTTAGAATTCTTCAGTGAAACCATCTGGGCAGGGAAATTTGTTTTCTTTTTTAAATTATAAATTCAATTTATTTAATGGTTGTAGGACTATTCAGGTTGTCTATTTCATCACAGTTGAGTTTTGGTAGTTTGTAGTTTTCTAGACACTAGACTGTTTCTTGTAAGTTGTCAGATTTATTAGTATACAGTTGTCCCGGGTATTCCTATACATCTTTTTAATGGCTGTAGGATCTGTGGTGATATCATCTGCTTCATTTCTAATATTAATTCGTGTGTTCTCTCTTTTTATCTTTGTCAGTCTTGCTCAAGATTTATCAGTTTTATTGTTATTCATAATCCTAGTGGTTGATTTCATTGGTTTCTCCTCATTATTTGGTATTATTCTGCTTGCTTTGGGCTTATTTTCTTTTTTTAGGTTTTTAAAAGCTAAAAGAGGACATTATAGCACTAAGTACTTACATTAGAAAAGAGGAAAAGTCTCAAATCAATAATCTAAGCTTCTTTGTAATGTAAGCATTTAGTGATATAAATTTCCCTCAGCACTGCTGTCTTCTAGCTATGTACCAAAATCTTTGATTTTTGAATTGTATTTTCATCTTCGTTCAGTTTGTGTATGTTTTAAGTTCCTTTGATATTTCCTTTTGACCTGCGAAAGTGTGGTCATTTGATCCATGGGTCAAAGAACTGTGGTGTTTAATTTCTATATGTTTGAAGATTTTCCTCTTGTCTTTTTGTTATTGGTTTCTAGTTTGATTCTATTATAGTCAAAGAACATACTCTATGATTTTTTCCCTTGCTTTAAACTTAAATTGTTCTTCATTCTGTAGTTTCCTGGTAGAAATATGAGTTATTAATTTTAGACCTTTCTTTTCTAACATGTGTGTTTAGTACTATAAGTTTCCCTTTACGTACTACTTTGGCTGCATCCTATTACTTTTTGATGACTTGTATTTCATTTTCATTTAGTTGAAAATTTGTTTTATTTCTCTTCAGATTTCTTCTTTCACCTAAATATTTAGAATTAAGTTGTTTAATTTCCAAATATCTAGGAATTTTCCAGCTATCTTTTATTATTTCTAGTTTAATTCCCTTGTAGTTTGAGAACATAATTTATATGATATCTTTTAAATTTTTTAAGGTGTGGTTTTTTGCCCACATTTTGTAAACATTCTCATTTAAGTGTGTTCCTACCAGTTTATGGCTCTAGCAGCTCTGTCCAGGTGGGCAGATTTCAACTGTGACTTGGTATATGGTCCATGGGCATTTGAGAAAAACAACGTATATTCTGCCACTGTTGGATAGTATTCTGTATATATCAGATTTTTTTTTTATTGTGTTGTTCAGTTTTTCTGTACTTGTACTAATTTTCTATCTAGTAATTCTATCAGTTGCTGAGAGTAAGGTATTGAAGTCCCCGACTCTATTTATGGATTTATCTATTTCTCCTTTCATCTCTATTATTTCTTAACAGCTTTATTGAGATAATTCACATATCATATAGTTTCATCCATTTAAAGTATACAATTCAGTGTTTCTTAGTACATTCAGTGATATGTGCAACCCTCACCCTAATCCATTTCAGAACATTTTCTCACCCTAAGGGAAACCCTGAACATTTAGCTCTTGCCCCTGTCCCTCTATCCCCATCATATCTAGCTCTAGGCAACTGCTTATCTACTTTCTGTCTCTGTAGATTTTCCTATCCCTGGCCTTTGGCTTGGGGGTATGGGCTTTACTTGGAGCCAATTTTATCTGGGCATGTTACTGGTTCTGGATTGGAGGTTTCTACAGCATTCTATTTAAGATATAGAGAGCAATAAGGTACCCAGGGAACTCGCCAGCACTGCGTTGTTCCTCAAGTCCCACTGTCCCTGGGCTGTCTGCCTACATTCTCCCTTTCAGAGCTTGCCTGTGCTTATTTGTTGTATTTTGTTCAGAGTGTTTCAGGTGTAGTGGAGAAGACCTGGGAAGAATGGGGCCTACCCCATCTTGGTGGAACCAGAAGTTCCCACTGAAATATATTTTCTCCCAAAATTCAGAGGGATCCACTAAGTGTGTATCTGTTTCTCTGTAGTGGGCAGTTCTGGATATAACTCTTCTTTTCCATTCGAAACTGCACTGATGTAGCAGGCATGTGAACTCTTGCAGGATTTCTCTCTCACCTCTGATAATCATGTATCTATTGAGGCATCAAGGGTGCTTGCTACTTCCAGTTTGTATTCCCCCTTGCAAATATATTTAGCCTTAGGGAAGAAAAGACTTCTTGGCCCTCCTGGAGATTTTCAGGAGGTGGCTGAGCAGGGTCCGCCACCTTGGGTCCTCTCTGCATTTCCATTTATCCTCCCTCTAGAATCTGCAAGAGGAGTCTAGCACAGCTGTCTCATCGGCTGTTGGCCTCCAATGAGTCAAGCCTTCTGTTAACCATTCCCAGGTGCTTAATGTATCATATTCTGAGGTATAGGTGAAGTACCCCTGTTGGCCTGATCCAATCTTACATTCATTCTTGCTGGCTAATGTACTTAGAATCCATTTCCATGTGTGCCCTCCAGGTTCCTGCTAATATAGTTTGACAAGATCCTGCAACTCCATCAGCATGTACATGATTTCCTCCGGGAGTAGACCTTGCAGTGATCTCTGGATCATGCTAGGATTTTACCCTTTTTGGCCCTAGAGGCGATGAGTATCGATGGTGGTGGGTCCTGAAAAGTTTTTAGATAACCACCACAGAGGAAGCCATTGAAACATTTGTACCCAAGGGAATGCTAGTTTTCGTAGAAGGTGGAAAGATCTGTTTCTGATATGAAGAAATGTTTAGAGGTGCTAGAGAGTCAAGGCTCTTAGATTTGTGCCTGTCTAGAGGCTCCCATATTAAGTCTCAAGTTCCCACTCTTTCCCAACAGCATCTTTTACCTTAGCATAAGAGACTTAGCATAAATATATCTTTATCTGGCATGTGATCCTGAAACGTCTACATTTAGCTTCAGCCATGTCCCTTGCAGATTCATAAAATAAGGATTCATTTAAGGCCACCATAAAAACTTTCTGATTCTCTACCCATGCTTTGAGTTGAGATCTCAAGGACTAAGCTTACCATTTTCTTTTCGGAATCTCTTCAGCACAGTCAAAAGAAGTCATCTCACCCCACAAACTTGGAATCACCATGATGCCATAGCAATCAAGTGCCACAGCCACTTGCTGTCCCAATGCCTTGCCCTCCTGTTACCTTCTGTTCCAGTGATATTTGAGTAACTGTGATGCCACCACATGCTACAGATTAGCAGGGTCCCACTTCTCCCTAGTAAGAAAGCCATTCATGTACTCACCAGCCCAACCTCAGAATGTCACTTGGATGAGCTGCTTTGTTGGGCCACTTCTCATAACACATACTGTATTCATCAGGGCTGAAAAACAAAATGCACATTTGGCTGAGACTTTGAAGAGAAATCAATGAAGAAGGACAATTGGCTGAAGTTTGGGCAGGGTGCAGAGCATCCAGAAGGATAATGAGGCACACAGGGACTCACAGCATTAGGAAGCCCTTACCATGCTTAATCCTTGGGCCTGAAGGGCAAAGGGAGCTCTGGAGCCTGGCAAGAACCAGAGGTGGCAAAGGGGGCCTGCCTGATAGAATCTCCAGTCCCAGAGGTAGAGAGGAAGTGGGGTGGAAATACTCAACTTTCCCTCTTCCTGTCCTTCAGCCCCCTGCTGGTGCTTCCTGCTGGTGCCTCCCACTGGCCTAACCAGAAGCTGGAGTTGAGGCAGCTTTGCTGGTAAAGTCTACAGAGGTCCCCTTCCTGGGCCACAGAGAAAGGCAGACTGTGTTGGGGGTGAGGAAATAGAAAACAATTAGCACAGGGGGTCTTGTGGAAACAACAAGAGACTGTTCTCCCCCTACCAGAGGATAGCACTTCTGGCAGGAAAACAAGGCATCTAACAGCTGAAACTGTCCAGAGTGAGTCGGAGGCCCCCTGGAGTTTGTGACTCACTGCACAAAGGTGCCCAAACCTCTGATATGTGGGAAGACCTTTGAACTGTATTATTCAGATTCTGAAATGACCTCTATGAGCAATCTATGTGTATACATACATTTGTAGGATAAATTCCTTAAAATTATGTTGTTTAAGCTCTGGTATATATGTGTTCTGGCTAAATTGGTGACATTTTCTGTTACATGATTTTTATAATGGACTTCAAATTCTATGATTGCACTGTTGGTTCTAGTAAGCAGAATTCAAAACGTAAAGTGGAAAAGATTTTTTTTTTTTTCTTAGTTTCTGCTTTAGGGATAGTATATCCTCTGAACACTGCTATTAAAATGAACATTCACATGTATATACTTCACCTGATTCCAGTGCTCAGTTTTAAAAGGAAATTTAAATTTCTATTATGCAGTTTGTCGACCATGGCTAATCCTCCATTTTAACAAAGAAAAAAAAGAGACAGTTTTCAACAGAAAGAATCAGAGACTTTAATCTTGAACTCACAGTGTTCTTCTCTCCTTTTCCCCTTCCAGGAGGACAACTGTTAGTTTTGTGGCTTACTGCTGCTCCACCCAGTGTCTGCAGACTTTTGACCTGCTGAGTTGATAAACACTCAAGAGCCTCAGGAGCGCTGCCAGCTTGACACTGGGGAATCCAGCCAGTCCAGCACACTCTTCCATTCTGTCCTGTCCAATGCGGGGGCACTGCAGAACTCTCTGGAAATGTCGTGATTGAGCTTCAGAGCTAAAATGCCTTCACCCTTCCCCCAAGTTGGAATATATCCTCCCCCAAATTAAGGACCTGTTTGTCTTCTGTGTTTTTCCTTTTTATGTGAGTGTGTCTTTTACACAAACCATTTAGATTGATGGGCCTCCCCAAATCTAATTTAAAGCAAGTTTCAGGTGCCTGGAGAACAGTGATTTGATAATCTAGCCAGATTCCCTTTTGAACACGCATACCTTCAATGATGCTTCCTCTCCTCTCCCTTGTTTTCCCTAGAGAGTTATTTCCCTGAGAGCATATTCTCCACAGTGTCTCCAGTGGAAACTTGTTAGTTTTTGAGGAGTTTCAGAAAACCCCATGGCCTCAATGGTGGGGTGCCTGAGTTGGCGGCAAAGTGAGGCTCCCATGGAGGCTCAGTGAGGATCCCAGAGCACACACCCTCTGGAAGTTCCAGCCTTGTTTATAAGTTTTACAATGTAGCAACGGACTTTTGTGAGGGATTTTAAAAACAAAAATGTAGATTGTAATAAAATACACTTCTTATTTTTAAAAAATGTTTGCAGAAAAATGATTTTGAAATTTTTTATTTTCTGATAAGTTTTTTTTATATGAGAAGAATTTGAGGAATATTTGAAGCTTTACAGGATCTGATTTTTTTTTCTTTCTCAATATAAACAGTTTCCATACGATGAGAAAGGGGGGAGAAAACACACATTGAAATAAGACCTCAGTGTTCTTTTTTGATGGGTTTATGATTAAGTTTATACTGACTTTGAAATATTTTTGTCACACGTGAAAGACAGGCTTCAGCTACTTCCACTACTAGTTTTTAACAGGATGATTCTAAGTACAAGCTGTGCACATTTACTTGGTCACCTGATGCATGACATTGTCTTCATTTTGACCCTCGTTTCTTGTATACTTAGCATACTGTCCAGATGCAACTGAGAAAATACAGGAAAAGCAGGTCCAAATTCAGCCTTGGACTTCTGCAAAAGTCCATAAACAGAAAGTCTGTGAGCCTCCACCCTGCCAGAAAGAACTGCTCTTCATGAAGGAGTCACGTATTTGCTCTTCCTTTCAAAGGATGGCATTTTAATGTTGCTTTGCTGCCAGATGTTCATCTGGTTGCTGTGAAGTGATTCTTTTTTTAAAATGTTTTTTAATGATGTAAGTTTTCTAAAAGGCAGGGCTGAATGGAGAACTAAAGATTTTCTTGGTAGAAAAATTATATTTTTTAAATTTCAGACTTATCAAAAATTTGGTTGATGAAATTTTTATTAGCTGCCCTGACTTTATAATGCTACGCTCTAACAGTGCCAAAAATCCTACATAGTTACTGACAAATGTGTGATCTTTTTACAGTCACACCACCTGCTGCCCGGAAAGCACACCATCCACGTAGAATGGAGAAGGCAGAAAGTTACCATGTGTTCCCACTGTATCTGCACTGTTCTTACTTCCTCTTGTCCCTTTTCATAACTTGGTCTATTCAGCCTTAACATTTCAAAGGCTTATAGTAAAATAGGAACTGAAGATCTGTATCAAAATGTAACACTTTCATCCTTTGGAATAACTGAAGTTTTAACATAACCTCTACATGCATATAAGTTAGCCGGTGAAAATGTGGCATGAAACTTCACAATTGTGCTTCAGGCCTAAGTGACTGCTACCTATCATTTAAGTGACAGTAAATGTCTTGCTACATTTTTCTATTTCATCCTTTACAATCATATGTCATGGAATGGAGCTATCAAATGTGCTAACTTGGTATTCAGGATTCTCATTGTGATAAGGTAATACATTAGTTTTACCTTGTTTGAAATTTTACAAAGATGGTTATAATCCAAGCATTCTTTCTCTACCTAACTACGGTGTGTTAAACAACAGCAGTGGGCTGGGCAGACAACCTTTGGGCAGTCTCAACCTTAATCCTTGGGTATAGCACCTGAACTTAATTGATGAGAAGTGGAACTTAAATGGTTTCCCTGGTGCTGTTCATTGTGGAAATTTTATGCTGGATTCATCGATGTCATTCTTAATCTTTTGATATTATAAAGGAGTGTTATCAACTGGGGAAAATTTGCCTACATGCTGTATATTTGAATTGTGTCCAAAACTTTGCAGAAAAGCAAATCTGAAGTTACTATATATGTTGTTTTATTGAGCGACAGTTACGCTAGGTAGAAAAGTATTTCACACAATAATAGTAATGCAAAAAAAGTGAGCTACTTGGAAAGTATCTCTGTTCAGGTAAGTTTACTTCAGTGAGCTCTCATGTGGTTATTGGTAAATTTTAAAGTCCAGGATAGCCTCATGAGCATAGGCCTTCATATGATGTAGTGCAAAGGGGGCCCATTTTAGTGGATTACCCTATCAGTGTTCATCAGTATGTCCAATTGTTATCATACCAAAAACCTTAATTACATAACATTGTATGGATGAAATGCTGCATCTTCAGTTAATACATGTTTTGAGCACACTCTTAAAATACATAATAATTAAATGATCCCTATTCAAAAGAGCCCTGGCCTGGGCGGAGGATCCACTCGGGCTAACGGATAAGAGTGATGTACTTCTTTGTTACCTGGCCCTTCTCTTATGGAAAAGTGAGGTGTACATTAAACATCTTTTGGTCACTGTGCTTCACTAAGACCTTTCACACTCCAGCTTGTCTGACTAGTGTAATGTACATCTCACTCCTGTTTTACATTGAGCATTACTAATTAAAATCTTTACAGTCTAGGGAAAAAAAAGGCTTCAACACCAGTTGGCTTATGAGGCTCTGTGTATAATTTTCTCTAAAATACATAACTATTTTGTAGTCTCTGGGGACTTTCAAAGCCAGTTTTTAAAATTATTAGTAGTAAAGTTGTTTCTCTTTCCTGAATGAAAAATCAGAAATTCTAATCTTTGCTATAAAGTACTTAATACATTGCCTCAGCATAAATCAAAACATTTGTATTAAGATGATTTATGAACATGGATTTCTAACTGGACCAACACTAATGCAACCTGATACAATTAAAAATTGAGATGTAAATTCATTTCACAGACTCATAAACACACTCTCTTTAAGACTCTTTAAATGGATCCTTACATTACCCTGCTCATTTTATTATGCCTTCATTTTTGTGGTTTTCATTCACTCCTGCTTGCTCCTCTTGAAGTTCTCATACATTTTCCCAGAAACTCAGTGAATATCTTGTCTGTGCTTCAAACAAAGGGGGTTTTTATAAAGTTTGTATTTTGAAATAGCTCTATGTCTGTCTAAAAATCAAGTCTCAGCGGTGGCTCACGCCTGTAATCCCAGCACTTTGGGAGGCCGAGGACGGCAGATCACCTGAGGTCAGGAGTTTGAGACCAGCCTGACCAGCATGGTGAAACCCCGTCTCTACTAAAGATACAAAAAATTAGCCAGGCATAGTGGCGCACACCTGTAGTGCCAGTTACTCGGGAGGCTGAGGCAGGAGAATTGCTTGAACCCGTTACACAGAGGTTGCAGTGAGCTGAGATCACACCATTACAATCCAGCCTGGGCAACAGGAGTGAGACTCCATCTCAAAAAAAAAAAAAAAAAAAAAATTGTTTAAGTCTCACTGTGCCTACAGGGAGGAACTACCTTCCTGTGTCATCAGCTAATAGATCTGAAAGTGATGCCGGTGTCTCTAGGAAAGGGATTGATCATAGCCAAGTGACTGACATTCTTGGTCAGGAAAAGAGCTTGCTTCACAGCCTTTGAAGCATGACTGTATGTGTGGTCCCCTTGTACTTTGGAGACAGAAAGTACTAGCAGCCAGTGTGGTGGCTGGGCAGAAGGTGTAGCATTCAGAGATTATTTCTATATGTAATTAAGAGACTTTCAAGGGTTAGCTGGGTTTTTTTTCCACTCAACAAGTGTGGATTATCGTTGCTACCTGTGTTAAAGAATATCAGGTTTTGTTTCTTACGGTGATTTTTGAGTCTTAATGATCCAAGATTTTTAAAATAGATACATAATGAAAGGATTATCCAGGCCTCTGAAAAATTATGGCAACATTCATTTGGAGTGTGGCTAAAAACTCAAACCATCCAGTTTGGTTGCCTCTCTCAGTTACTGCAGTTTATAGAATAATCGAGCTTGAACCATGTGAATGCTCAGAATGTCAACGGTGGAGTATTTATTCAAGAGAAATGATTGAATCTCGGTGTGAACAACGAGGTATCTCCCTCTTCCATCTCTGTTGTATCCTTGAAAACCAACAGTATACAATGAAGGTGAAAAGTAGCAGCCTGGAAGCCACTAGAGGGGGCAGAATGGACTTAGAACTCCTTTAAAGCCTCATTCCCAGAGAATTGTCATCATTTGACCTGTCAGGCAGGTCCCTGGAAGACCTCATTTGCAAGACTGTCTTTATTTTACCAGATTGGAGCTTGCCAGGTGTGAAAAGCCTTTTTCCCAGGGACGTTAATCAAGAAAGACTCAGAGGCAATTGGTTAATTTTGTGATTGCCTCAAGTGGTGGCCAACCTTTGGAGCAGACAATAGGCTAACCAAAAACGTAAAAGGAAAAGCTAGGGAATGAGATGTCCATAAGGACCTCGAAAAGTTCTGGTATTCTTGGGAATTTAGATGGTCATGTGTATGTATAGAGCTTTGCATATGCCAAGGGTTATACTCCTGCTCAGGAAAGACTTAAGAATATCTTGAGCTGTCACTGTAGGTTGACCTTGACACACAAGCAGAAAGTGAGGCCAAAGGCAGCTTCCTTCCTGTCGCCTTCCTGGCTCAGTGTTGAAGGGGTGCCCCAACAGGCACCCAGAGCCCTTAGTACAGACTTGGAGATGTAGCACAGTAAGAAAACTCCCTTGGTAATGTTTAGGGAAATTTCTGTCCAATCATTAGCTGACCACTAAACGACCCTAGCAGAGACTTAAGTGTCCATGCACTATAAAGAATATAGAGTTTACTCAATTAGTTCAGAATAGTCACTAAACAAGCCAAAAATTCAGCAAGTACATCAAACCCTTAGCAAGGAGATAAAAAGGTAGGTATGATTTCCAGAGTTGCCACATTGTTCTTTGAAATGTCCAGTTTTCCACAGAAAAATTATGAGACACATAAAGAAGAAAGTATGTTCCATATATGGGAGGAATAAAAAATAGAAACTGCACCTGAGGAAGTCTAGACATTGGATTTTTAGATGAAGACTTTAAATTGGCTATTTTAAGTAGGTTCAGAGAACTAAAGAAAAATTATGTGTAAAGAACTAAAAGTATGAAAATGTCTCACTAAATAGAAAATGAAAAATTATTTTTAAAAGAACCAAATATAAATCATGAAGTTGAAAATACAATAACTGAATTGAAAAATTCATGAGAAGAACTCTATCTAGTCTGAGAAACAGAAAAAAGAATAAAGAAAAATGAATAGAGCCTCAGAGACCTGTGGCACACCATCATGCATACCAATATATGCATAATTGGAGTCCCAGAAGAGAGGAGAGAAAGAGGTAGAATATTGGGGAAAAAATAATGGCCAAAAACTGAAATGTGATGAAAAGCATTGATTTACATACCCAAGAAGCTCAATGAACCTTGAGTAGTATAAACTCAGAGATTCATGCCTGGATACAAAATCACACTGTCCAAAGAATCTTGGAAGCAAAGAGAGAAGTGACTCATGTGCTAGGGATCTTCATCAGAAACTATGGAGTGGAGACAACAGTGAGATGACATATTCCAAGTGCTGAAAGTGAATGACTATCAAATAAGCATTCTATTTCCAGCAAAACTATCCTTCAGAAATGATTAGGTCATGCCCAGATAAAAACAGAATTTATTAGCAAGGCTGCTCTACAAGAAATAATAAACAGAGAACTTAAGGCTGAAATGAAAAGATAATAGTAACTCAAATGCACATGAAGAAATAGCACTGGTAAAGGTAGCTATATTGGTAAATACAAAAGGCAGTACGAATGCATTTTTGGTAACTTATTTTCCTCCTATCTGATTTGAGGCAATGGCATAAAACAATAATTAAAAATCTGGGCACAAAGTGAAAAAACAATTTGCATGACAACATTACAAAGGAAGGCGGAGGGAAAAGAGTTACAGAGGAAGAAAATTTTTCTATACTGTTGAAGTTAGCATTATTCCAAACTAGGTTGTTATAAATCGAAATGTTATAATCCTCCGGGAAAACACTAAGAAAATAGCTAGAGAATATATAGTAAAAGTTACAACAAAGAAAATGGTACACTAGAAAATAGCTGCTAAGAAAAGACATGGAAGTAATGGAGGAATAAAGGAACAAAAAAATATAGAAAACAACAAGGCTGATCACAGCGGCTCATGCCTATAATCCCAGCACTTTGGGAAGCTGAAGCAGGAGGATTGCTTGAGCCTGGGAGTTAAAGGCCAACATGGATAACATAGTGAGGCCTTGTCTCGATTAAAAAAAAAAAAAATGGCAGACTAAACCCTACCTTATCAATAATTGCATTAAGCATAAATGGATTAAACACTCAAAAGGCAAAGGTGGTAGAATGGATAAAAATCATGGTCCAACTATATGCTGCCCACTAAGAAACTCTTTAGATTCAATGACACAAGTAGGCTGAAAGTAAAAGGATGAAAAAAATACATGTAAACTTTAAAAAAAAAAGTTTGAGTGGATATAACACCAGACAAAATAGACTTTAAGATAAAAATTGTTGGTAGAGACAAAGACATTACATAATAAAAGGGACAATCCATCAAGAAGGCATAATATTAATAGTTGAAATTATGCAAAACATGTTCTCTGACCACAGTGGGATGAAATTAAAAATTGGAAGAAAATTTGGGAAACCTACAAAAATGTGGAAATTAAACAGTACACTCCTTTTAACCAATGGGTCAAAGAAAAGAATCACAAGGGAAAAGGAAAGTCCCTTAAGAGAGTAATGAAAATGACAGAACATACCAGAACTTATGAGATGCAGCTAAACCATCACTTAAAGGACCATGTATAGCTATAAATGTCTCTGTTAAAAGCTTCAAATCAATAACCTAGCTCTAAACCTTCAGAAACTAGAAAAGGCTAGCAAACTAA